TCTGTTTTTTTATAAAGTAACCATTTTGCTTATATATATCCCTACCATCTTTTATGAAATTTGTTTTGAAGCCACATCTTTAATGTTAACATGGTCCAAATAAAATGAAGCGTAGGATTCACAAATATGAAGGATACATCTAGCCTGCTTCAGGAAAAAAAAAGTAGAGAAAAATAGGCAAAGTACACTTTCACGAACCATGAAAAGTGCTTCTTGTTCTGAAGCAGGCATTCTCTTCAAAGCTAGCTGTGCTTCATCCTTCAGCTGGAAATACAAAGTCATTCACTACGAAAAACTATCACAAGCATTATGTAAAACAGAAATAAGAAAAAAGTACATAGAAACAAAAATGGAGTGCCTTTACACGATCCCAAAGAGGGGGCAAATCAGTAAAAATGCTCTTAACAGTTAGCTCCAGAGGTTGTGCATTCTTGAAAAAAGAATGGTTAAGTAATTTTTCGGCTGTTGGCCTCTTTGTTTGATCTTTAACCAAGCACATTAGAACCATTTCCTTGAAGGACCGATTACAACTGAAAAACTTTCATTAGAAGAGCAACCACAATAATCTAACCTAATGCCCAGATTCTGTACAAATAATGACTGAAACAGCATTCTAGAACAGAAAGATTGTGACAGAAAACTATCATCAGAAAGCATTCACACTTGGAGGAGCATTTTGGAGCGTCATGAGAAGAACCTGAGCCACCAAGGAAATCACCAGTTAACACTGAATTCACACACGTGATTAGGTGAACTCTAACTCCGCCTATGGTGGGGCGCCTTTGGTGTCCCAGCATAGCAGGTCCCAAGCCCTGGTAAAGGAGGAGGGTTGTGTTAGGCGTGGCGAGCCAATGTAAAAACTTAGCCATTTTAATGGAGATGAAACCCAAAAGAATCTCGTTGGGGCGTAACCCTCTTAGCGACGCGTCATGTCGGAACCCGGGTATGGTGTTAAATGAGCAAGGGTCGGGTCGTCACCCCCGTGACGCGCCGTGTCGCGATCTGGACACAGTGTCAAGTGAGCAAGGATCGGGTCGTCACATCCTTAGTGGCGCGCAACATCGGCGCCCGGGTGTGGTGCAAAATGGGCAAGGGTCTTCAACCTACCTCGGCGGGTGCGAAGGGTAAGGAAGCTAGTCGAGCCAACTAGAATCCGTTTAGGTAGCTGGAATGTTGAGCCCCTTACAGGTAAGTTAAGAGAGTTAGTGGACACAGCGGTTAGGAGGCGTGTAAATATCTTATGCATCCAAGAGACTAAATGGAAGGGGCAGAAGACGAAGGAGGTGGACAATACCGGCTTCAAGCTCTGGTACACAGGGACAACTTCAAATAAAAATAGAGTAGGAGTTTTGATTGATAAGAGCCTCAAGGATGGTGTGGTGGAGGTGCGAAGGTAAGGGGATAGGATCATCTTAGTTAAACTTGTCATTAGTGATATGGTCTTAAACGTAATTAGTGCGTATGCCCCCCAAGTAGGCCATGATGAGAGTGCTAAGCGGCTTTTCTGGGAAGACTTAGATCGCTTGATTAGAGCTGTCCCTAGTAGCGAGAAGCTCTTTATAGGAGGTGATCTTAATGGCCATGTAGGTACATCAAGTGTAGGTTTCGAGGCGGTTTATGGGGGTTTCGGATATGGTAGTAGGAACCAGGAGGGAGAGGAAGTCTTAGACTTCGCCATAGCTTTTGATCTGATGATAGCTAACACTTTCTTCCGTAAGAGACAGTCCCATTTAGTGACCTTTAGTAACGGCCAGTACTCTAGTCAAATCGACTTTGTCCTTATAAGAAGGAGGGATAAACGAACATGCGTGGACTGTAAGGTGATACCTGGAGAATGTGTGGTCGCTCAACACAAGCTGGTGGTGGCTGACTTCCGCTTTCTGGTGCAAGCACGTGGGAACAAACAAGCTAGGGTTGCTAGAACGAAGTGGTGGAAATTAGAAGGGGAGGCATCAAAGGTCTTTAAGGAAAAGGTCATTGAAGAGGACCATTGGAATGATGAAGGTGATGCAAACAGCATGTGGGAGAAGATGGCAACATGCGTTCGGAAGGTTGCTTCAGAGGTGCTTGGAGTGACCAAAGGGAGCGGATGCGACTCGAAAGACATTTGGTGGTGGAATGAAAATGTGCAAAAGGCTATTAAGGAAAAGAAGGAGTGCTATAAGCGCTTGTATCATGACAGGTGTGCAAACAACATAGAGAAGTACAAGGTGGCAAAGAAGACTGCAAAACGAGCGGTGAGTGAGACAAAGGAGCGGGCCTATGAGGACCTTTATCAACGTTTGAATATAAAGGAAGGAGAGAAAGACATTTATAGGATGGCTAGGGCTCGCGATAGAAAGACAAGGGACTTCAACCAAGTCAAGTGCATAAAGGATGAGAGCGAGCAGCTCTTGGTGAAGGAGGATGAGATCAGACATAGATGGCAAGAGTATTTTGATAAATTGTTCAATGATGAGAACGAGAACACTACCGTTCAGCGGGACGACTCATTTGATGACACTAACATATGCTTTGTGCGGAGGATTCAAGAACCGGATGTCAGAGAAGCCTTGAAAAGGATGAAAGAGGGCAAAGCGATGGGCCCTGATGGTATCCCAATCAAGGCGTGGAGATGTCTCGGGGATATAGCTATAGTATGGCTAACCAAGATGTTCAATAATATCTTTCGATCGAACAAGATGCCTGAGGAGTGGAGAAGAAGCATATTGGTACCAATCTAAAAGAACAAGGGAGATATCCAAAGTTGTACTAATTATCGGAGAATTAAGTTGATGAGCCACACTATGAAGTTATGGGAGAGAGTCATCGAGCAGCGCCTGCGACGAACGACGCAGATATCAACAAACAAATTTGGTTTCATGCCCGGAAGATCAACCACAGAAGCAATCTTATTAATAAGACAGGTTATGGAGCGGTTTAGAGAGCAGAAGAAGAACCTCCACTTGGTTTTCATTGACTTTGAGAAGGCTTATGATAAGATACTAAGAAATGTTATGTGATGGTCTTTGGACAAACATAAAGTCCCATCAAAGTACATGACCCTCATCAAGGATATGTACAACAATGCTGTGACTAGTGTTCGAACAAACGATGATAACACATATTACTTCCCGATTAAAATTAGACTTCATCAAGGGTCAGCCTTAAGCCTGTATCTCTTTGCCTTGGTAATGAATGAGGTTACCAGGAACATACAAGGGGATATCCCTTGGTGTATGTTGTTCGCTGATGATGTAGTGTTAGTGAACGAAAGCCAGGCGGAAGTAAATAGGAAACTAAAGTTATGGCGGCAGACTCTTGAGTCTAAAGGTTTTAGATTGAGCAGAACTAAAACCGAATACATGAGATGCGATTTTGGCAGAGTTGTACATGAGGAGGGAGATGTGAGTTTGGAAGGTCAAATAGTGCCTAAAAAGGATACCTTTCGGTATCTGGGATCGATGCTACAGAGGGATGGAGATATTGATGCGGACGTTAGCCATAAAATCAAAGCATAGTGGATCAAGTGGCGACAAGCTTCTGGCATTCTCTGTGATAAGAGGGTACCACAAAAGCTAAAAGGCAAGGTCTATAGAACGGCGATTAGACCGGCTATGTTGTATGGAGCAGAATGTTGGCCTACAAAGATTCGACATGTTCAACAACTGAGTGTTGCAGAAATGCGTATGTTGCGATGGATTTGTGGTCACACAAGAATGGACCGGATTCGGAACGATGATATTCGTGATCGCCTAGAGGTAGCACCAATTGAAGAAAAGCTTGTCCAACATCGGTTGAGGTGGTTTGACCATGTTCAAAGAAGACCTCCAGAGGCAGCAGTGCATTGTGGAGTCCTAAGCCAAGCTAATAATATAAGGAGAGATAGAGAAAGACCGAAATTAACATGGGGGGAGGTAATAAAAAGATATTTGAAATCTTGGGATATACCTAGAGATCTATGTTTGAATAGGAGTACTTGGAAAGCAGCTATTGAAGTGCCTGAACCGTGACTTGGGGCTCTTGGTGGGTTTCAACTCTAGCCTACCCCAACTTGTTTGGAACTGAAAGGCTATGTTGTTGTTTGTTTGTTTGTTTGATTAGGTGAACTCTATGGAAATAGTTATTGAGCCAGAAAGTTTGTAAAGTTGGATAGCTAACTTCATGGATAAGACTATCTGATGCCTATAATAGTTCTGCAAGCTGGTGGCAATCAGCAAGTCTAAATAAGTATTCACAAAAGAATGTGTGCCCATGGGAGAATTTCTAGGATTTCTCTCTTTCGCTATCATGTCATGTGAGGATTAATGCGGAGGCTACAAAAAGAGTCTCTAATTAGTAATACTAAGATTGGATGGCAAAATGATTAAGACCATATATACTTGCACTCTAACTTTCAAAATAAGCTACTTCATGAAATTTCAAAATAAAAGAAAACTGATGCAATCAATCATCAAGCATTCATGCTCCATGGGAACTATTATTACATAATTATATTCCATAAGAGCAAGAAGGAAAAAAGATTTAAAATCTTAATTTGCAAAGAGCAAATGACCCATTACCTTCATAGGAGGGTACATCGAAAAGGGAGCATGTCCATGTGCCAGCTCGAGTGCAGTTATTCCCAATGACCATATATCAGCTCTGTACAAAGAGTCGATAGTTGTTAGAAGATGTTGTTTACAATAGCAACTAAGAAAAGTAAAAGTACACATAAAAAAGCTACAACACGTTAAGCAAACATGATCATTACATCAGTAAAACATAAGCAGTATTATAAGTCAAAAACAATAATAGGGAAGTTTTCCCAGAAACCTCAAAATGGAACCGACCAGAACCTGGTCACCACTAGTTTCTGGGAAGAGTTCCAACTTGATGATGTGCTGCACTCATATTTAAATACAACAAGTAAAACTAAATTCCAACATTGTATCTGCTCGATCTCAGGTTTATTAAGCAATGCAAATTGTGAAGCAGAACTAAGCATGTGCGTGTAAAAAATATAAGATAGGTATAGATATTCACCACATACTTGAAATTATATCCAGTTCCAGGCTGGAGAACTTCTGGAGCCATCCTAAACACCAAGTAAAACAAGAAAAACATGTCAAATTATGCATAAACTAATTAATTTCTATTGAACCACTAGAAGAAGAAATTTATAGAAAAGAAACATAGTTACCAGCACGGTGTTCCAACAAATGTATTCCTAGCCCTTTGTCTATCACCCCTATCAAACATGCAAGCAGAGACACCAAAGCCCCCAAGCTTGACTACACGGGATTACAATAAGGATATTACCTGCCTGCAACAATGATATGTTGAGAAAAAGCACTGCCAAAACTAATCTCAAACAAATCCTACAGAGCTAACCTTCACATCACGATGAAGATGCCCTTGCCTATGGAGGTAGTCTAGAGCTTTGAGTGTTTCCTTTAGAATAGAGGCAATAACTGGCTCTTCAAAACCATCAGATATGCAACCTTCATTAGGTGCAAACGTCAACCTTCTGGCATGAATGGCATTACCAACAAAAGATTATGACCCACAACAAATGAGCAGTAAGACCTGATGACATTAGGGTGATCTATCAAGCTCAAAATTTGAGTCTCCTTTCTTACATCATCCTGCATACAATATATATACTACCGTGAGACACTAATTACACTGTTCGTTTTACAAAGGAGCATACAATATAGATATACTACCACCAGAATCAGTATAATTTCTTTGCATGCCATGAGAATAATTAGGCACATCTTTTGCATAGAAGTAAAATACACAGAGTAAATCAGTCAGCTTGCATTAACAATTCAATACTCGAGCAAACATATTCTAGCAGTAAACCAGCATTAGGAAGATTAACTTCAACTTCTACCAATAAAAAATTCAGTGTGCAGAACATGGCATTACCATGTCAGAATGCAAGGGGACTAAAGGGTGCACATTAAGGTTCTTATTCTCAGTCCATAGTGCTAACCGAAAGCTGATGCACCAGTAGAGCATATGAGCAGAAAAGGCAGCATAGAATATATGGCTAACAAGAAAGGCAAGCAAGGCAGAGTAAAATACATGTTTGCTAGATGCATAAGCCACCAAAGGCAAGGCGGAAGCCCGTATACTCTCCTGAGTTCTTCCTATTCATGCTTGACAATAACTGTCACAAAAAAAGTCATGTCCGATGGTACCTTGGTTACACATCATTCAGCACTAGACACAGCCTCTTTCTGGCACCAGGGTGTAGTTATTCCATCAACAAAAGCATTGTACGAACAGCCATCTTGTTTCAAAACTCGTGAGGACATTTCAGCAGGACTTTCTACCATCTTATCCAATGAATCCACCTCACAAAACCCTGAAATTAGTGTATTGTAGGAAACACTATCAGGAACAATGCCAAAGCTCACCATCTCGTCAAAAAGCTTGGAAGCTTCTTCTTTGTTGCCAGATTTGCAATAGGCAAACATCAGAGTGGTGTAGGTCATCTTATTTGGAGGTATATCCCTGGAATGCATTTCCTTGAAGTACATCACAGCTTCATCAATTTTTCCTATTTTGCATAAACCTTGAATTATAATTGTGTAGCCAATTACTCCAAGCTCAATGTTCTTTACTATACATTGCGCAAAAACTGCCTTGGCCTCTTCAACAAGACCAGCATGACACATCCAATACATAAGGCTACTGTAAGTTATAGGTGTTGGTTGTATGCCATTATACTTCATAGTGTCAAGAACACCAATTGCATCAGAAATGTTACCATTCCTACCATAACCACCAATAAGAGCATTATAGATGACTGCATTCGGTCTTAACCCATTTTTCATCAATTCAGTCAAACATTCATTCGCCTTATGCATATCCTTTGCTTTGCAGTAACCGTCTATTATAGTGCCATATGTCACAATATCTGGCTTAAGGCCCTCACTTTTCATCTGATCCAACAGGTGAAGGATCTCTTCCACCTTACCCAAATTACAGTAAGCGCGTAGGAAAGTATTAAAAGTGAAAAGGTCGGGCTTAAACCCTCTTTTGATCATATCATCACGAAGTTGTATTGCTTCCTCCATTTTACTGGCTTTGCAGCAGCCTTGAATCATTATATTATATGTGATTCTATCCAATTCAACCCCGCTATTCACCATAGCCTTTAGAACCTTAGTAGCTTCTGTCATGTTGTTACCTTGACAAAGCCCATGAATCAACGCATTGGATGTTGCAATATTGACACCTAAACCTTTACCCAAAACTTGGAACCAAATTTCAGTTGCTTCTTCGTGTTTCCCTCTTTTGCAAAGCTCCTGGATACAAGCTGTCATCAGAGCATCATTTGGTTTCAGAAATCTGGCAAGCATTTCTCTTATAAGCCTTAGCGCCAAATCCAGTCTTCCAGTTCCTCGGAGATGCCATGCAACCACACTATTAAACAAGGCGCAATGAACCATCATCCCAGCCAACAACATCTCATCCAATATCTTCTCAGCATGTTCCATTTCTCCTTCTTTGCACAGAGCCTTCGCAATCAAGTTGTAAGTCACCACTGTCTGCTTTATCCCCTTTGAGACCATTTCATCAAACAGCTTAAGTGCCTCTGAGCAATGCCCTTTCCTACAATGCCAACCAATCATCTCATTGTAAATAACCTCATTAGGGGTGATCCCAAAACCCTCCATCTCCTGTAACACTGCACCAACCTCCCCAAACCGTTGGCCCCTTGCAAGACCATTGATCAGGATGCCAAACGTGACAATGTTTGGTCTCACCCTGCCTTCAACCATTCTCCCCTTCAACCGAAAGGCCTCCTCCACCCCCCCACTCTTGCACAGTGCATCCATTAGCACGTTGTAAGTGACAACCGTCGGCTGGACCCCAGACCGCCGCAACTCCGCAAGCATCGCAAAAGCAGCATCAATCTCTCCAGCCCTGCAGAGTGCCTTAATCATCACCGTGTATGTGTACACATCAGGAGCAACAGTCTTGCCATCCCGCATTTCTCCAAACACCTTGCGGGCCACGTCCAGTTGGCCACCACAAACTAGGGCTTCGACAAGGATATTGCATGTCTTGATGGACGGCAATGCACCACGTGTGGAAAGTTCGAGAAAGGCATCGGCGGCACGGGACAGGGATCCGGGGCCAGGCGAGTTGAGGCAGGCGCGGACGAGCAGGTCCGCTGTGGCAGTGCAGTCGGAGTCTGCGATAGCCGCTGCGGCGACGGAGAGAGGGTTGAAGCAGAGGAGGCGTGAGACGAGGCGGCGCGCGGACGGTAGCGAGGCGCGATCGGCGACGAGCGATGGGAGGAGGAGCGCAGAGACGCGAGGAGACAGGAGATCCTCGGCGTGGCGGGAGGCGGACACGTTGGCGTCGGAGAGAATATGCTGGAGGAGGCGCAGGGCGGAGGAGGCGGAAAGCGGGGCCGGAAGGGACGACAGGGCGGAGGCGAGGCCGCGGCCGCCAAGGCGGCGGAGCAGGATGGCAAGGTCGCGCTTCGCATGGGGGGAGGGCGCCACGGAGAGCGCGCTGGCAAGCTCGGCGGCATCAGCGGCGGCGTCAGCGGCGGATGAGAGGCGGCGGCGGAGGAGGGGAAGAAGCCGTGGTGGTTTCATGGTGTATGCGGGCGGTGGCCGCCGACGGCCTTGAGGACAAGACGAAGGTTGCGGCGGGAGAACGGACGGCGCAGATTGGATCGGGGACCGGTAGGCCTAGGAGGGGGCCAGCACTCCAGCAGGGCCCCGGGGAGGGGCGGAGGACTTCGTGACTCGTGAGGGCGTGGTGGCGAATGTGTAGTTTTCTACTTTTTTTAAAAAAAAGATTCGAATTAGTTACCGTTTTTTTTTCGACTTGAATTAGTTACCGGTATATTGCAACATCAATCATCAATACATATAGCAATCGAGTTCTCGGTACGTTTAGACGTTGGAAGCATCCAAACAAGCCCCATCTTTTTTTTCTTTGCATCCCCCCCTCTCGCTGACCTTCTGTGCCAAAAAAATGAACATCATGTTACCTTTAGAATCAACAAAGGGTTTGTTTAAATCAATTAGGGCTACTTACCAGTTAGGGCTAAAAAACAGTCTAAATTAGTTGTGATTGGTTGGCTAGTTGGCCAGTAAGTTGAAGACTTGACTAAAAAGTTACCCCACCTATTAGTGTAACTCCATAAACGCCTTTATATTCTTTTCTTATTGATAGAAATAGGGATTTTGGTGGAAAAAAAACTCTTCAATAATTTTTTAATTGGATATTCAAATATTGTCCTCCTCTACTTTGAATTTCTCCCTAACTAAAGACGGAGAGCGAAATTAGTTCTATAGAGTGTGCATAAGATATAGAAAAGATGTCAGTTTTATTTAAATGACTCTCTAAATGAAGATATATGGCGTGTTTGGTTTAACGAATAAGTTAGTCCATCATCTCCTCATTCCTCACTTCTTTAGTTGGTTTATGAAATGGAATAGATTTATGCATCATCCACCTCATTCCTCACCAGCTAATAACCGATACCAGTACTAGGAATGAAGTTATTCTACCAAATTTGAAGAATGAACTTATGATGCATTACCTCATCTAGAATGAATGAATCCTCAAACTAAAAACCCTATTAGAGTGCAAGTTTAAGAAATATTCCTTGAGATACTCTTAGAGCAACTTCAAGAGACTCTTTATATCCTTTATGATTTATAGGAACAGTGATTTTAGTGAAAAAATATCATTTAACATTCTCTTTAATTGGTTCTCTAAATACAGACATTCTCTATTATAGAGCCAACCAAAGACAGAGAACGGGAATAACTCCCTATAATACACACCACACGGTATAGAAAAGTTGTTGGGGGTAAAAAATATAGAAAGCAATTTTTACTCAAACGACTCTCTAAATGATGATTCATAGAGTAAATTTTAGAAGAAAAAAACTCTTGAAGATGCTCTTAACATTCTATTGGGATGAGTTAGAACTAGTTTTTAGCTAGGTTAGCTAGCTAATAATAATTGTATCAAACAAGCCTGAAAGTATGATGATATTCGAGGCATTGTTGTTGTACAACCTGACTCGGAAAATGAGCGAAAGATAAAGTAAAAGGCCTTCGTGAAGTAAAATCGGAACCGTGCATCAATCCTCGAAATGGACGGCCGAACTGGGCCACAAAGTCCACGCGTTATTTGGGCCTAGCCCAGCCTAGGCTAATCTGCTCTCGCTGCTTGTCGTTCCTTCACTACCTTGTCGTGCTCGTGCACAAGCACAAGAAACGTATGGAAGTCCTTCTCGAAAAAAAGAAAGATGGAAAGATACTCAATCCGTTCTAAAATAAGTACACGTCTCATATTTTAGGGAGTCAAACATATTTAAGTTTGACCAAATCTATATAAAAAATTACAAAAATTTATAATATCAAACAATCATCACTAGATTAATCACATCATATATTTTTATACTAATCTTGTTTAGAGATACAAATATTAATTATATTTTTGATAAATTTGGTCAAACTTGATATTGTTTGACTTCTCGAAGTGTGAGATGTGCATTTATTTTAAAATGGAGAAAGGAGAAAGATATGGAAGTGGAATCACAGCTGGTCCGGTTTGTGATGCCGTTCCACGTCTCAGCAGCATTTTTTTCAAGTATATATACCGGCCCCGTTCGCTTCGCTAAAAAAAGCAATCTAAAACACTGTTTCGGCTGATTTGTTGTGAGAGAAAAATACTATTCTAACTGAAAAGACAAATCAAAAAATACGAATTATAAGATAAACGAACAGGCCACTAAGGCTAAACGATGTAGTTGGCCTTCTCCGCCTGCATGGACTCCACGATCCTTGACCACTTGGTGCGGACGGTGATCACCAGCAGCGAGCAGGCCTGGCATGCCAGACCGCAGATCGATCATGCCCGCCCATATAACCCCTGCAAAGAAGTCATTACAGAGCATATTATCAAAGTCATATGAGTTTCAGGCTCACGGCGTCGAGCGTAGGTTACCCGTTACTAGCGGCGGATCCCGAAAATATTTTAGAGGGCTGAACAACACATATCTCCGATTGCTGTTTGATCTTAAGTCTCAGCCCCCTACACTATAGAACTTTGCCTAAAAATTCATGGGAGCTCCACAGGGGGTTCCACTGCTTCGGTATAGGTAGGGAGGGCTTAAGCCCCCCCCCGCTGTGTCCGCCTGCCCGTTACCAACACAACAACACATGTTGACTGTGTTGCACATTTATGTGTATCTTGGTATAGAACTTGAGCTTGAAGGCGAAGAGTGGCCAACGGCATGGCCACCAAGTAGTAAGCCACCAGCAGTGGCCACCAAGTAGTAAGCCACCAGCAGCCTGTTTATTTGGTCGTATTTGACATATAAACCATGACTTATCCACCAATAAATAGTACTTTTCTCTCACACCAGACCAGTCAACAGTATATTCAGTTATGACGAACAGGACGTAGGTCGATCATCGCCGCGAGATGCTGCCCCTCGACATGCCTACCCATTATGAGTCATTTCAAGGCATCCCAAATCATCAGCCAGTCACTTGTGCATGCCGGTAGGGAGAGCTCTAGGCTCTCTCACCAGACAGTGACAGGACACCCTGCAGCATGGCAGTGCTTAATTAGGAGTACCTCACAGCGGCACTGAACCCTTACGTGATCATGAAGGCGATGTCCTCCGTGCTAGTGTTGCACACAATTATAGGAAGCCCGCTTTTTTAAGCTCAACACGAGCACGGTCCGGTCCGATGACGTGCGAGCCTGGGCTGACCCGGCCGGAGGGAGCAGGCCATGCCCAGGGCCACTGCTCAGGTCCGTGGGCTGGCACGGCACGGCCCAGCCTTCGACGGTCGGCCGGCAGCGGCCCGGCCTACCCCTTCCCCTTCCTCACTCCTCCCCTCTCCAAGGCCCAGCGCGGCCCACCGTCCCCCGCTCCCCCCCTCATATATAAGCGCACATCTGCGGTGCCGCTCTCCCTCACACCCCGAACCCTAGCTCATTTCATTTCATCCCACACCCGCAGCGTCGCTCTCGTCTCGCGGCTCTCGCCTCGCTCTCGCGGTCTCGCCCTCGCAGTCTCGGCTCCGTCCTCCTCGACTCCGGTGAGGTGACCTCGACGATCCGCCTACCGCCGATGAGTAGCTCCCTACTCCTCCTACCCGATCCCCTCCCTGCTCCCTCTCCGCCTCTCCCTTCTCCCTATCCCTATCCCTATCTCCCTCTAGATCTCGGTGATTATGTGAGTTCGTGTCCCCGTCTGCCCCTCCTCCGCCGCTCGCCGTCCATTTTAACCGGTGTGTCGTCTTCTCTGGGTGGCCCTCGTCTTCTTCGGCACTGAGCTCCGGTTGCGCAGGTACATCCCTAACCCTAACGCTAACCCTAACCCTAACCCTAACCCTAACCCTAATCCTAACCGACTAACCCTAACCTTAACCTGTGGCAGAACCGTCCGAAATAACTCACTTATAGAGGTACTCGTCTTCCTCTAGACACTAAGCACCCCGAAAGCAAGCTACAGCGGGCGGTATCCGTCGGGCACACCCCAAGGGAGAGCCCGAAAGATCCACATTTTCCCCCAAGGATCCAATAATGAGAATGAGTTACAATACTTAATCCATTTCATACATCCAGAGTTTGTAAAAAGTACATTATTATATTTCCAAAGTCAGAGTGCGGAAGATTAAACAGCGGAATAAAAATAAACATCTAGGGATAAAGAACAAGGATCTGTCTGTGCCCACCAGAAGAATCCTTCACACAATGGTACTCCTCAAGCATTACCTGCAACAGGTGTAAATGAACCCCGAGTACATAATGTACTCGCAAGACTTATCCGACTAGTGGGAATATTTTTCCGACTCCAAGGGATATACAAAGCTTTATGGTTTGTTGGTTTCCTTTTTGCAGGAAGCAATACTAATATTGAGTCCTTATTTATGTAATTATTAATAGCCATGATTAATTGATTATCTAGCCATTCTATGTAAGCACATGTTCTACTTTCAAGCAAGAGTTGAGCAATTAGTTCCATTTCTTCACTTTTCATCTTTCATTTCTTACTACGGTGCTAGACCCATAAAATGCCTGTAACGTAAATGCACATCATATATATATTCAGTGATCATAAAATATGGGTTATGCACCGGGGCTTGCCTTGGGCATGCGGTAGGTCAACAAAGTCAGCACCAAAAGGCTCCGAGGCTCCCTCCTACGTGAGGATCTCCTTGTCGTACTCCTCAATGACCTCCTCGTAGTCCTGTTCATCCATAGACACGAACTCTATCAATTCGTGATCTACATGCATGAAATGATGATGCAACACTTAGTAATATGGCAACAACAACTCTTAAAATAAAAATATATCTATCAAGCTACTAACCGAGTTCTACCGACTAAGGTGTTAAGTTACCTACTGTTAACACTAACAAGCATGAAGCATGACATATATTATCTTAGTAACTAAAGATATTCTTACTCTTAATACCGATTTACTCTATATATGATAAAAGGGGTACTAGCTACTCTATTTATCAACCTACTTTAGGGCTACAAAAATTATAGTGAGTACATAATAATCTAATGATCTTACTATAAAAATTTTATGGCTAAAGCTATCACCAAT